TCAATCTATTGTCAAAATGATAGAAACCAGGATCAAATAGTGTTCCATAATAACATGGTGGGCTCAAATATTTTTCCATAACATTGACAGACTCAAAGAAAACTCTATGTTAACACAGGTAGCCCAAGCTAGGCATTTGTGAACTTTTTAGAAATATTTAAAAWATAATAAAAATAAACATCTCTACTTGTGTGTTGTGTTTTTCATTACATTTCTTTGAGAAGTTTCAGGCCATTTCCTTCAATTGTTGCCTGAAACTTCACAGAAATGTAATGAAAAACACAATACACAGGTAGAGATGTTTATCAAAAAGTTCACAAATGCCTAGCTTGGGCTACCGGTGGTCTAGTATGTTTAACAAAAATATTGATAATGACCGCGTAGGTCGAAAGCTTGGTTTTATTTTATTAAACACCAAGGTTTATGCAGCAAAGTACACTATGAAAATATTATCGACTTTAACACAGAGCACTGTGATTCTTTTGCCAAGCTTTTGAACAATTATATAAGGGGTGTTTTGTTAAACTGTTAGGGTCTCTTGCACATCCTTCCTTTTACTCCTTCCCYATTCTCTGCTAAAGCCTCCTCAGCCCCTAGTATGTAYCCTGAAAATGGCTGCTCTAGGTCMACTCTGCTGCTTGTCTCCTTTYCAAACTCCCCTTTTGTTAGTCTTCCTGTCCCTATCATGAAACTAGAACTTGCAGCTGTTAGAGAGACTAAATTACTCTTAGTTCCAAATAATCATACATGCACACTTATTTATTCTGGCAAAATATTCCACTGTATACGGCCTTATATTCAGGACTGTACGTTTATTTATTTTCAGGGTTTTTTTTTTCCTGTTCTTACCTTAAATAGTTATTAATAAAATCTGAAAAAAAGTTCTGAAAAAGTCTCCCAAAAGACGAACAGTTTGTGTGGCCACAGTCCCTCCACGAACTCCAAATAAAGTCCATAACGTCTCATTTACTTTAACAAACAATTACAATCGGTGTTACTACAACTATATAAATTTACAAGACGAAAAACGGAAGAAATATAACGACTACTTACAAGATTTGTGGCGACTACGACTTCGACTGTGACAATGGATATTACGAAACTAACTACTTATATACTAACTGACTTASACGATGGAATTTACATTAACGTTCTTACTTACAAACAATAGAAAACAAAACAAGGTACAATGCTCGTGTCTACGTTTGTCTCCAAAATGAAACAAAAACACGAGCGAACAGCAAACTAAGACCACAAATCTGGTCAGCAGATATGATCGCAATGGAGACTGGGGACAAGTCGGCATTTTTGCAAAATAAATATCTTGAAATTTTGTTTTTTCTACGCTATACTATTATTCCACCCTATACTATTATTGGTTAATTTGGATTTTTCAACTCTATACTATTATTGTGCTCTATATGATTATTCGGAACTTAAGAGTACCCATCATCTAGCCACAGGTAACCCATGCTCAGTCTATTCAAGAAAGGTATAAAGTGTTTCTTTACCCCATATAAAGAAAGCTCAGAAAGAATTGGCAATTGAGAAACAGCGATASCAAAACTGCTCTGGGTACACTMTTCTTTCACAAGAAGGATAAATRACCTAGGACCAGTTTGGCTTGTTTTGCTAGACCAGCTGTCTGTGAGAACCTTGGTGTCATGTTGAATTRTCCTTYATAAGAAATATTTCCAAATGTATGTTCATGATTGAAATATTGTAAAATTTTCTTTTAGATTTTTGAAATGATGGACGCCAAAGCAAGACAGGACTGCATAAAAGAGATAGATTTACTAAAACAATTGAATCATCCTAATGTCATCAAGTACTACGCTTCGTTTATTAATGACAATGAGGTTTGTTTCTAAATCTAAATGCATGTAAATATGTTAAACCGTAGTCGCATTGAATAAAGCCAAAAAAGTCAGAAATGTTGAGAAAAATGGTTCTTTACAGGTATGGTCTTTTTTCAAACTGTTCCTATAGTTTGGTGGTTACTAAAATGTCTCATGAATTACAAGTTGATAGTCCACCCAAATTTGTTGTGTAATGTTTAATTATTTGCATCATTCTTAATTACAGCTGAATATTGTACTGGAGCTAGCAGATGCTGGAGATTTATCCCGTATGATCAAAGTAAGATATAAAACAATGTCAAGTTATTTAATTTATTTAACTAAAGGATCACTTATAACTCTGTCTTTCTGTAAAATGTTAC